ACCACTGTTGGCAGGCGTGCTCAGGAGCACATCTTTTGGACCTTAGGTTCTGGGGAGGTTAGCTTCTGGGATGAGTGGTGGTTTGGCGAGGCCCCTCTCTCGAGTACTAGGTCCGTCACTCACCTACCTTTTATGCAGGTGAAGGACCTTTGGACGGGAGGGCTTTGGGATAGAGATAGGATGGAGGATATTCTTGGTGAAGGTGGGGGTTTTAGTAGTCTAGAGATTGACCAGATCCGACTGATTCCCATTATGGAGGGAGGTTTGGATGGCATGAGGTGGAGACTTACATCTTCGGGTGCATTCTCTACGTCCTCAGCCTGGGGAGAGGTGAGGCTGGGTAACCAGCCAAACCGCCTCTTCGGGGCCATATGGACTGACCTACTCACCCCGGCCATTTCCGTCTTTTTGTGGCGTCTCCTATTACGGCGGATTCCCATTGACACTGTGATGCAGGCGAGAGGGTTCTCTTTCCCCTCCCGCTGCCATTGTTGTGCTGAGACCGGTACCTTTGAGATCGAGACTTTCGCCCATCTTTTCCTTGAGAGTGAGATTGTGAGGAGAGTGTGGGAGCACTATGCCAGATATACTCATATACCCCTACCCACTACAGACAGTTTTTTTGAGCTCCTGAGTTTCTTCTTACACCGCACACACAGTAGACACGTGGGCTTCCTTATTCCTTGTCTGATCCTATGGGCCACCTGGACAGATAGGAATAATGCGAAGCATAGGGATATTATATTTTCTTGTGCTCACATTATTTTGCAGGTTGACAGACACCTCTCTCTCCTCACCGCCCTGGGTATACTCACGACGAGAGACTGGAAAGGGTGTACTCCGCCCCATCGGTTGAGGCCACCTCCTCCTTTACCTGTCCAGCATCCACGACCCAGGACCGTTGTTTGGCTGAAACCCAAGGCCCCTTGGGTTAAGCTAAACACTGATGGCGCTTTCGACAGACATACCAGAACTGCTGGAGGAGGGGGCCTGATTAGGGATCATGGTGGGGCACTCATCTCTGCCTTCCATGGGCCACTCCGGGCCTCCTCGAGTTATGATGCAGAGATTCAGGCGCTCCAGATTGGCCTCAAGATTGCCGCCTCGATCTCCTCTCATGTCTGGATTGAGATGGATGCTGCGGCTGTCATCACACTTTTGACATCTGGCCACCAGGGCTCATGGCAGATCCAGCATCCTCTTATGCGTATCAGAGACACCCTCCGCTCGATCCATTACCAGGTCTCACACATATTCCGGGAGGGGAATCGGCCTGCTGATTTTCTTGCTAGCACGGGGGCTTCTATACCCCAGAGACGCACCCTCCTTCATGAGGACATTCCCCTCCGGCTTCGGACGCTCATTCGGATGGACCAGTTAGAGTACCCATCCTTCAGATTCGGTCGACCGCCACCACCTGCCCCTGATTAGTTTTGACATTGTGGACTCCTTGTCAGGTCACCCTGACCAAGACGGCCTTTTATGTATTTTATTCTTTATTTTATTTTCTCTCTTTTGGTGTTGCTTTATGTATCTCGGACTTAGATGTAGACTATTGACTCTTTAGCCCTAGCTGGGCCATTATATTCACAGGTTGGGGGTGTAGCCTCAACCCCCCATCCCATTCTGGGATGTTTATTTCGAAAAAAAAAAAAAAAAATTCTAGGTGAGGGTGGGGGTTTCAGTACTCTAGAGATTTACCAGATCCGACAGATTCCCATCCTCGAGGGAGGTTTGGACGGCATGAGATGGAGACTTACATCTTCGGGTGCATTCTCTACGTCATCGGCCTGGGGAGATGTGAGGCTGGGCAACTGGCCTAACCGCCTCTTCGGGGCCATCTGGACCGACCTTCTCGCCCCGACCATTTCCGTCTTTTTTTGTGGCGTCTCCTATTACGACGCATTCCCATTGACACTGTGATGCAGACGCGAGGGTTCTCTTTTCCCTCCCGTTGCCATTGTTGTTCTGAGACCGGTACCTTTGAGAGCGAGACTTTCACCCATCTTTTCCTTGAGAGTGAGATTGTGAGGAGAGTGTGGGAGCACTATGCCAGATATACTCATATACCCCTACCCACTATAGACAGTTTTTTTGAGCTTCTGAGTTTTTTCTCACACCGCACACACAGTATACACGTGGGCTTCCTTATTCCTTGTCTAATCCTATGGGCCACCTGGACAGGGAGGAATAACGCGAAACATAGGGATGTTATATTTTCTTGTGCTCACATTGTTTTGCAGGTTGACAGACACCTCTCTCTCCTCACCGCCCTGGGTAGACTCACAACGAGAGACTGGATAGGTTGTACACTGCCTTATCGTTTGAGACCACCACCTCCTTTACCTGTCCAGCACCCTCGACCCAGAACCGTTGTTTGGCTGAAACCCAAGGCCCCTTGGGTTAAGCTAAACACTGATGGCGCATTCGACAGACATACCGGAGCTGCTGGAGGAGGAGGAGGCCTGATTAGGGATCATGGTGGGGCACTCATCTCTGCCTTCCATGGGTCACTCCGGGCCTCCTCGAGTTATGATGCAGAGATTCAGACGCTCCAAATTGGTCTTGAGATTGCCGCCTCGATCTCCTCCCATATTTGAATAGAGATGGATGTTGCAGCCGTCATCACACTTTTGACATCTGGCCACCAGGGCTCATGGCAGATCCAACATCCCCTTATGCGCATCAAAGACACCCTCCACTCGATTCATTACTAGGTCTCACACATATTTCGAGATGGAAATCGGCCCGCTGATTTCCTTGCTAGCACGAGGGCTTCTATACCCCTGTGACGCATCCTTCATCTTGAGGACATTCCCCTCCGACTTCAGACACTCATTCGGATGGACCAACTAGAGTACCCATCCTTCAGATTCGGACGACTGCCACCACCTGACCCTGACTAGTCTTGTCGTTTTGGACCTCATGTCAGGTCACTCTGACCAGGACGACCTTTATGAGAATTAGATTTTAAATCCACATCGGATATTTTGTGATCCTTGTACTTTTTGTTTTTTCTTTTTGATGTTGTTATATGTATCTTCGACATTGATGTAGACCTTTGATTTTTTAGCCCTGTTTGGGTAATTATATTCACAGATCGGGAGTGTAGCCTCAATCCCATCCCACACTGTGATGTTTATATTAAAAAAAAAACTCATTATTTGTTTTATTCTGATCTGTTTTTTTTTTCGCCCTCCAAGTCTCACCAAATGCCGACAGGCAACAGACACAAATAAAATAGAATGGCTGTAAAAAAAGATAAATGAATAGTAAATCTTGGTCATCTCTGATCGGATAGGCATTTTCTCGTTTCTTCCCTTGATTGTCAGAAATACAGTGAAGATTAATTACATTATTGGCCAAGAAAGACGGGATTCGATCGTGTCTTGATAGGCCCTCGCACTCTTCGTCATTGTCCTTGAAAAGGTGCTCTTTTCCCTCCCAACAAAAGAAAACTGGCTTTTTATGCTATTTCAGGTGGCAATCTGTGTGATATACGAAGATCCAATTACTTTTTTTTTGAGCTATATTTGCTATTTGTATGTGATTCATTTGTTCAGTAGCATTATTGGTTATTTGACCTTTTATGATGATTGGTAGAAGATGATTGTATTGGTTCTTGGAGATATCTTCTTTTGCTTTGGATTGTGAGGAGGTTTATTCAATATCAGATAGAGGGTTCGATTGTTTGATGTTATTGGTTTTGGTCTTTCTTGCATTGAATTGAAAATGAGATAAATCCTAGGCCAAAAAGCATGAATTCTTGTGTGAGGAACATATCAGTATCTATCTATGCTTCACAGGTCAGGTCTCATTTATAACCAGCTTGCGAGCCAGTTATGTTGGACAGGGTGGAGAATAGCAAGAAAATATAAAACTTGCAGAAATAAACATGTCAATATGACTCTAAAATTCACATTTATGCTACACTTTCCATGAAAGCGAGATCAGAATCTTTAACAGTTAATCAGTTCAAATGAGGAAACCAAGTGTCCCATGTTTCTTATTCACTAGTTGAGCAATGCATTGTAAACTTCCTAAGTTATTAAAAACAAACAAATGAACAGATAATACCTTTTATTTGTGAGCTACTCTATTGTTTTTTAAATGCTTTTATTTCTCTCATCTCTTGTTTCAAATACTTCCACACACCCCTGTTTCCGTGGATGACCAAAGCATTAGTTAGTTATTAGCTGAAGTGGTGTGTATTTTTTATTACAGATCAGTCCAGCAGCATTGTTGATTTTCGTGCTATCACAGCTTCAGCATCTGGAATTCAATAATTGTTGCCTTCATTTACAGTGACGAATTATAAAGAACAACTACAACTTGTGGGAGTATTTACTTTAATGTTAACGAATATCATCGAGATTGATTAAATTCTAGTTCCACTATTTTCTTCTCTAAAGAGATACCGAACAATGTGGTCATTACATCTGCTCATGAACAAAATTCTGAAATCATATGAAAAAAATTTCGAAGGCCTTGCTGGAATTCAATTTAATTTTGTTGGGGCCTACCATATACAACAATCGTCAAACAAAGACCAGCACAAAAGTTCTGTTCTGTCGCACTTCGTTGATGTAATCTGCTAATCCTTTATAACTTTCTGCTGCCTGCATTTTGATGTGTGATTTTGAACATGGTGTCTCTGTGCTCTTTCCCAATAGGAAGTTTCTATAATTCGATATTTATATTAAAGTGATTTTATGTCAGTTATTTCTTTCTTAAATCATTTGAATTATGGGTATTGATGCTAGGTCCCTCATATAAATCAGCAGCACGCGTGGGATTGTGGTCTTGCTTGTGTTTTAATGGTTTTGCAAGCGCTTGGCTTCTATGATTGTAATATTCAGGAATTGGAAGAGTTATGTTGTACTACGAGGTACCTTCTTTCAAGAAACCTAGAAAATGATGTGCCATACTTATGCTGTTGCTGCTTGGCTATGTTTCAACAAAATCTGTTATTCAGTTTCCATTTTTTCTTCTCTTTTTGTTAAACCTGTCGTTTCGTTTGAGAATATGGAGGAACTAGAGTAAAGAAAATATGAAAATATAGGATTTGGTATAGTTCGGTTGTTACTTTTAGTATATTGTATTGTCTGTTAAATGTTCAATGTCATGCTTCTGTAATGTAAGCTGTTTATGCAAGTTACTATTGAGTTAGTATGTCCTATCTATCTTTGTATGCATACAGCTGGCCAGACATTCAAAATGTAATGGCAAAATAACCATTTGAAAGGGATTGTTGTACTTTACTTCCCTTTAGATTTCAAATTCTCTTTCGCTTTGTTTCAAGTGAGCTATTTCGATTAGTAAAAATGTTCAGAATTTTATGTATTGAGTTAATATGCACAGACAATATGCATATTTTTAAAAGATGCCCGTTAAATTTGTTCTAATTGGAGTTTCATATAAACACTAAACAAAGTTTGTCTATAAAGTTTTTGACATGTTTTATCTAACGTTTAACAGTCATTTTAAATCGTCTTTCCTATAGAGGAAAACTAACTTAATTACACTGACGAACTTAAAGGATATTTTTAAAACTACTGGCGACATTTTTGTTTGGAATGCAAGTTTATTCCTGTTGCTTCTGAGAAATGATTTAATCTGACTGGTTGTACTCTGGGTAGCAAGAGAAGCCTTGGTGGAGTAACATTGAGATATTGGTAACCAGCATTGTTAGTGATCATGAGATGCTCTCGGTTGTCACAGTGAGATCATAGATATTTTCGAGCTTATTCTTTTATTATTATTCTTATTATTATTTTTATTATTATTATTGGCTTCGAAGTGACTTGGAGATGCATTACTGGGCCTATTGTTTTTGTTTCTCACATTCTCATATAGATGCTGCCTTAAGCTTGGTTGATGTTTACAAAATCTTCTAATATCTTGGTTAAGAGCTCCTTCAATTCTTCAATAACACAAGTGGAGTAACGTAACGAAGGCAATTTAAGTATAATCATGATAAAAAAAAGGCATTACTTGAGGTCACATTTATGTGAAACATGTTCACTGAAAATATGTGTTGTGCTTTTCTTTACAGATTTCTGACATTGTCTAGTCTTTTGTGTAGAATGTTCAAAACATTGCCTTCCATGTTTTTTGGTAATATATAGACTAGTGAAGATCTGTATTCAAGTTTCTGTTACTAAGTTTTTACGATGAAAACGCTGATGCTCCTTGTGATTACTTATCTGAAGCCTATCACACTCTATGTTTCAGTATTTGGACTGTCGATTTGGCATATTTGCTGCAGAAGTTTTCCGTAAGATTTACATACTGCACAGTTACATTAGGAGCAAATCCAGATTTTTCTGTTGAGACATTTTATAAGGTAAATGTCCATTCACGTTGAAGGAATTTAATTTTTATGTAACAGCTTGGTCCCAAAGATTTTTTTTTTAATTTTTTTTTTAATTTTTTTCTCTGTAATTTCAAAGTGGCCCATAACATTGAAGTAATATATATATATATGAAATATGACCTATGTTCTTTATTAGTTATATTTATGTCATCTATCTATGTATTTGTTTAAAATACATATCAGTTTCATTAATCTGTTCTGGAGGATCTTTGCAGAATATAAATAATAAATATAATTAAACATTTGGACATTTTAAGTTCAACTGAACTCCCATAAAGCACAATATGACAAGTCTGCTTTTTTTTTTTTTTTTTTTTTTTTTTTTTTTTTTTCTGAAATCGAACAAGTGACTGTCTGGTTTTCAAGATTATGAACACTTCTACATTCAGTTTTGATGTTATAGATTCATTGCAGGACCAGTTGCCCAATGATCTAGTACGGGTAAATATGCTGTTTCGTGAAGCTCGTAAAGCTGGAATATGTATAGAGGTACAATCTGCTTACCCTATTAAATCATTCTCTTGACCGAACCAGTGGGGTGACTGGGGAATTGGATTTGTTATTCCTACCAAATTTATGCTACTGCTAGTTAGGACTTGAATCTTTAACTAGTCCATTTTCCTGGTTATGCGGAAACTCGGAAACTAGAGAAATATTTGAACAATGCATTCATGGGAAGTGCTTATCCTACTAACCAATCTAATTTCTTTATGTTTAGTTTTTGAGATTTGCATGTCTATCATAAATTTTAACCCTATATTGTATCACAATCGATCGAAAGTACTTGATTAAATCCCCATAATGTGTAACATTGGAAAGGGCCTCAAGGAACATGAAAATGCTTGCTACTGATGCTCAATTCCGTGCAGGATGATGGAGTCTTAGGATACCTTTTCTTACATCTGTTTTTAGGTTACCAGCAAATGTACCCAGGCATATAAATAAATAAGATAAAGTGTTATTTAATATTATGTTTATTTACTATTTATTTTGCTTGGTCATGGAATATTAATATCATTTTGTGGTTTATGAAACTCATGATTTTCATTTACAATATTTGTTATATAATCATTTAACTTACTCTCTCCTTTTTTATTTATTTATTTATTTATTTATTTATTTTTTGTAAATTTGTATGCTATGAATACTTTTATTTTTCTTGTCAACAAAGTAATTGACATAGTGGTTCGATGGGCAACTTGTTAGTTTCTCCTTTAATGCCATATACTTGATATTTGAAATAGTTGTTTATATTCTTTTGTATTTATTTTTCGACATAAATTTTCAAACCTATGTTAGACAAATATTCTATAATATTATCTCATATTATTTTGTGCTAAAAAATATTAATGTATATTTTCCTTTTTATAAATCACTTCATCATTTTAATGCAAATAAATAGTATCCAATGTTATATTTATAATCACATCATTAAAATCCCCAATCATTGAACATGGCAGTGAAACGAGCTTCTCTAAGTAGTCTCGAAGTCGGTGACGCTTGCGAAGGAGTATTGCAAAGTCAGTTTTAAGAATCATCGATTTTAAATTATGATATTTCAGTATTATCAATTAACTTTTTCGTTTTTCTAATTTATTAAAATGCATATCACGAACATTTTTGTTTTTACTGACAGGATAACTCGTTTAGTGACTCAACAAACAATTTGCTAATTTTTCTCTTAAAACATATGCTTGAAGCATAGAATGTTGCATATATAAACACACACTTTTATATTAGTAACAAAAATAGTTCAAACTTGTAGAGAAATTTAAAATTTATTCATTTATGCTATTTTTATTACTTAATTCATATTTACAATTATTCTATGAGAAACTTGTAGGGCATTTATTTTTTTTTTCTTAAATTGGTTTTGGTAGATAACTTTCACTTTATTCCATGTTGAAGAAATATATTATATATAATATATGAAATTTTCGTGTCAAATAAAAAGTTGTTGAAAGAAGATTCGTTTGATATATATACTATTTATACAAATGGTTACAGATAACATTTTATTAAGTTTTTGTTTGAAACACAGATAGATTAAGTATTCAATTAGAATAAGTATTCAATTAAAAATCTAAAGAGAAAAGATAATTGAAATATATAAATATTTAACTCAAAAAGATGAAAAGATACTAATATGAATTATATTATCAAATAAATGTAGGATGTATATTTATATTTTAACATTTAATGCTAATGAAATTAAAAAGAAACTTAAGAGTTTTCATTTTTAGTATGAAATAGAGTGGAAAAATCCAATACTAATGATTGAATGTCATATTCTTATTATATATCTAGATGCAATTTTCTTCCATTTTGTCCTAATTCCTACCCTGATTGCTCCTACCGTGAAAGGCTTTGTCTATGTCTACTTGATAATTCCTATTGTCTCTTGTTTTTCTCACTGATTTGGAAGTTTAACCTTATCATTAACATTCAATTCTTGCAAAATTACTCATTATCTGTATCATGGAAAATATAGTTTCTGTATGCATTACATAAATGCTATTTTTTTACAGTGCAGATCGGTTAGTGCAAAAAACATTTCTGACTTTGTCTTGTCTGGAAAGTATGTTGCTATTGCTCTAGTCGATCAGTATAAACTAAGGTATGTTGTCCTCCTCCCCCCCCCCTCTTCTTCAAAGAAGGTCTATATTACGTTGATTTCTTTGCATGTCGTAAATGTTATCTTCTTGTGGTTTGTGCCTTCGTGAGTCATCTACTTTTTGGCGTTTCCGCGTTTATATTTATAATTTGATTTTCATGTAAGTTGTGAATTGTCTTTCGAAGAATCAATCAAAACTGAATTTTGCATGTGTTTATAATTGAGGACATGTTCGGACTTGATTAGCTTTGAACAATCATGAATATGAAAGTTTGTGATAAAATTGAAATGATACTTGTTTGTATTTATGATATTATTTTTTATGTTGTATTTATGTATTTTGAACAAATAGCGATATACAAATTGTAATATTTGAATGATGAGCTGCGAATAGTGGTTGGTAAGTGGTAGACTTTGGTTCTGCTTATATAGTAAAATACTCAAAATAGCAGGTCCAGACTTTTTATGTGGAAAAATGAGAAGATAAAGTAAATGTGTTTTGTAAAATTATTAGGATTCACGTGATTATAATTTCATGGAAATATATAACTAAAATATTGCATTTTTTAAGATAAACAATGTGCGTCTAGAGTCTTTCCCTTTCTAAGTTTTGTTCACTGGTTCACCTATCTACTAGTCCCCATGGTGGTTATGTCCAACAACAACAACAACAACAACATACCCCAGTATATTCCGAACTGGTTGTGGTTGGGGTCTGGGGGGTCAGTTGTACGCAGACCTTACCCTTGTAATTATACAAGGAGTCTGTTTCCGTAGCGACCTAAGGTGCATTGCGTCGTTTTATATATATATATATATTTTCTAGAAACTTCACTAATAGAAGAAGCACTAGAATTTAATTGAGCCATTTTGATCTAGTCCATTATTAGCACTATGCCAGGAGAATTGTCAACAATGACTCTTCCATGGACAAAATGGTGGTTATGTCCAAACACAACAATATTACAATGTTATTGCTTGGGCTCTGGTTGGCTGTTTCCTTTTTCTTTTTTGAGGGAACAGTTGGGAAAAATGTTTAAGAGTATTAAGGTTGAATTTAGAGTATAATTGGATGTGGCATAAAACTTCAGTGACCATAGTTATTTAGAAGTAGTGGTTGAATGTGATGATGGTTAAAAATATACGTGCGATTGTAATAGATGACATGATGTCAGTTCAATGCGATTTTAAATTTATAAAAAATTTGATGCGATGAGATTCATAATTGGATAAATGGGGGCGGATACAGTTTTCTCTCTCTCTGTCTCTCTCTCTCTCTCTCTGTCTCTCTCTCTCTGTCTTTGTTTTTATATATAAAATTCCACAACAATTGCACGTTGGCATAAAATCGACCTTTTCATTGGAAATTAACATGTAGTGGTGGATTTGTCTATTTCGGCCTATAAAATATTCGTTAATTTTAAATGCCTATGCAGCCAATCGAAACTAGAGGATGTTTGTGTTCCAGACTTCTACGATGGCAACCCAGGTTACACTGGTAACCATCACATTCTCTTATTGGCATGCTTATTCTTTTGGGTTGCATTTCAATACTGCACCCAGCTTACGCTTACTTTTATTAAGAACATTCAAGTGGGGCTTCACTAAATAACTGGAAATTGGGTGCTTCTTGTAAATTAAGTTCTGTCAAAACTTTTATTGTACGAAATCCATCATTGACTTTTATTTGATATGTTTCTGTAATTGAATCAGCATAATTTGTTTGCCAAATTTTCTTTTATTCTTTATTATTGTAATTCTAGATAGAGCATCCAAATTTAAAATTTTGCATTTGAATTGGACTTACATAGTCTCCTTTTTTACTACCTCATTTCTAGACTTTATCTGATTAGTAGCAAGCAATTCTGGACAAGAAGTATTTTATCAATTGTTTTATGGTTTTCTCACCTAACCATGGTCGCTGTAGGTCATTACGTGGTTATCTGTGGTTATGATGCGGTTACAGATGAGTTCGAGATTCGAGATCCTGCCAGCTCAATGTAAGCAATGGTTTATCTAAATATGGGATGAGACAGAGAAGGGAAAAAATAAAAGAGCAAAAGAATATGTGAAAGGACAAGAAAAAGGAAACCAGTACATGATAGGGGTAAAGGGTCGAAGTAAAAGAATCTAATTATTATTATGTAGAAAAGTAAAGACAAGAACACGAGGTTCTCCTAGGGAAATAAACTCCCACCCTAGCTAAAAGCTGACAAACAATATTATTTCTCTCAATGCCTAATCCTTACTTCCTCACTCCCCTTTTATAAGCATATTATTTATTTAAGGTAATAGGATAACAAAGAATAAGAGCAACTTCAATAACAAGGTTTTTGGAGGTTTGCAAACTTAAACCTTTGAGGTTTATTGTTATACACCACAGGTTTGAGGTTTGAAAAATTAAAGCGGTGTTGCAAATGCAAAGCTCCTTTCAAGCTGTAAAAAGAAGAAATAAAAGAAAAAAGCAAGAAAGATGTTCAGTGAAATTCAAATAACACATTTCAAATGGGCTTGTCAAAGTCGTGAGACACATGCGGTGGGAGTGCGTGAGGAAGAAAGGGTCCACATCTGACACCAATGTGCTTTATTTTAAAATGAGATGAGAGCCATACCTTTTTTTTTTTTTTTTTTTTTTTTAATTCATCAGAAATCTATGGTTCATGGGTCCATATATTTTTAATTTTTGAGGTTTATGGTTATTTGAAGTTTGCGAGAGTAGATTTGAGGATTTGGGTGACATGGCATATTTAGAATAAAAAAAGTGGATCACTGTTAAAGCTGCCCTAAATAAGATAACGATTTGATAGCTGACGTGGAGGATCCCGCGATTCTAGCCAATCCAATGATTTGGGTTTCTAATATTGCCGTACTTATTTTATTACATTCCGGCTTTCCCTTTCCACAATCTACTTTCCCAATCTGTATCATATACTGAAAACTTTGCTACTCTACATGAACTTACAGTTCTTTGGTTATGAAACTTGTATTATATTTTTCCTCGGAACTTTCTTTTATTTGTTGGATGTAGTCGCGTATCCTGTTTTGATTTGCTTGTTATCATTATGCAGAATTGTTAAATAACTTGGATGGGTTTGTGATTTTTTTTCTGAGTCAGACTCTATTTGGTAAATGTAGCTGAAAAATTAGTTGAAAACTAAAAGTGTAAAAGTTACCAGCTGAAACCTTATCAAAGGAAATGCTATGTGAGATAGTTTTCCAAAAGTTTATTGTAAGCTATATGTTAATTTGTCAAATACTACTATAAATAATATAAGATTTTTGTAAAACTAGAAGCTAAAAATAAGCTCTTACTAAACAAAATCTAAGCTTGTTAAAACTGACTTGGAGTTCTGCACACACACATATATTTTACATTTTCAGGAAACATGTGAAGGTTCCTTCATGGTGTTTGGAACAGGCTCATAAGTCTTTTGGTACTGATGAGGATCTTCTACTGGTACATTTACCTTATTTTGAGCTCTTTTGCATTTGACCACGTGGATAGGATCCAACTTCGTTAATATTGCTGTTTATTTTGTTAAGTAAATTTTTACCTTTATATTTCTATGATATGATCATGCATAATCTTTGACTATGTGAATTATTTGTTTTATGTGTGCATCACAGGGTGAGCATAATTTTATAATAGATCTTGAATATGAATCCAATACATTTCGACTAGTACGAAACGAATCCCGTGCGATGCATGAATAAGAGATATTTATTAATATTTATTAATTAGAAATTCTCATTAAATAATATTATGAGTTAAAAATGTGGAAACAACAATTTACATATATTAATTTGTTAAATTTTGTGTAAGATTAAGTAAAACATGTCTATTTAAAATTAGTAAACAACTCGTGCGGTGGACATAATAAATTACATTATATTCATTAAAAGAAATGTCATGTTAAAATTTTTATTTAGGCATTCGATTTGACTACAATGTGATTCCATAAAATAATTATTTTGGTAAACTTTTAGCATATATTTTAAACTCTATGTGCATAAAAGTATAATTATAATACTTATATTGTTTCACTAATTAAAATAAATTTATTTTTGTTTAATCTATCTTAATAAAAAAATTTAAGTACTTGAGTAATTTATTAATTTATAAATAATTGACTATTCCATTTACGTCCAAGTTAATATTTGACCACAACTTATGAATAATTAGTTATTTGACTATTAAATTTGTAACCCAAATTTGGACTACACAATAAATTCTTTTATATATATATATATATTATCTCGCAGATTCTAGATTTGTTGTTAGTTTTCTTATCCCCCTATATATTAATACAGAATGCGCTGAGCCTACATGGCTGCTTTTGGTGCTTCGAAATCTTATGTGGCAAAATTACATGCTTTGTTATTAGACTTGGGTAATTTTAATTTAATTTCAAACAAAAAATAATTAGGTTTGGATTACCATAAATATGTTGATTATTTATGTTCATGTTACATGTATTAATTGTATTTTAATATCATTCCTTATTATAACTATTGAATTGTATATATATTTTAAAAGTTAATAACTTTTGTATTTTTTATCAGTTTTACATATGTAATATATCAAATTAATCTCCGATTTAACATCCATACTATATGTATAAAAAAAATAATTTATATTTATCCTTATAACAATAATAAAATTATTTTTAATATTAATTAGAAAAATAAAATTATTTATCAACTAATATATTTATATTTCAAGTAGTTATATGATATAAGTTATAAAAACTAATATAATATAACACATGTAAGTCATAAGTAAGACATATCATTATAAAATATATAGTAATATATTTTTTTGTAATAAAGTAAACTAAATTTAATATAGTTTTCTCATTAATTTTAAAATTTAAGAATAATTATTTAACAAGCACCCGTGTAATACACGGGTGTAGTACTAGTTGCTTAAATTTATCAACTAATTTTTTAGAATTAAATTATAAATTTTAAATTTTAATGTTCAAGCTTTAGATATTTTAAGAGATAAATAAATTAATGGTTTTATTAATTGATGAACACAATTACATAGTTAAAATAAAGATGGTCAGTTATTCAAAACTTGAAAAAGATTTCATATAATAGATAAACACAGACATAGGATAAACTATTTTCAACATATTAAAAAGTTGAAAGCGGGAAATTACAAAAAAATTAAATGAAAAATAGTAAGATGATATAAACATTACAAAATTATAAAAAGAATTTAGGAAGTATGATAAAAGTGAAGATTTACAAGTTACGTATTTGGAAAGTTGTAAGAAGTGATATTGAAATCAGAAACACTATCTAAAAAAATGAAACAATTTGTTTTTTAATGAAAAGGATATTGAATCAGTTTTTAAACATTATCGCAATAAGAAAAAATAAAAAGTAGTTACATACCCGTGTGAAGAAGAAAATAAAATCTACTTATTTTCATTTAAAATTTCAAAATTTTAATTATTTTAAAAATTTCTAAATTTAGTAAATTTGAAAAGTTTAGGTGGGATTTTATCTACTATTTTAGGTAAATCCTTGACCTTATTATATACTAATAGATTTGACACAGGCAAAGTAGTGTTTATCCAGTTCGAGTTGGATCATGTGGGGTTATAGTCAATCTGTTTTCCAAAATGTAATCTTATCATAAATATATGGATACACATTCTAAATAAAAAGAAATGTAGAGATGATCAGGGGAGGAAAAGAATAATCCAAAGTAGCATTTCATGGAGTTACACACTAGAAAAATCTAAAAATATGAATGTTGGGCTTTTAATTTCATTTATTTTTTCATTTATGGATTGTTCACAAACTTGCTCATTATTAGCCATCATCTTTTCGATAGAATTTGATTTTAATGGTATGAGTAGAAGATCTCAGCACAAGACATACATAGAGGACTAAACTTTTTCAACTGCGTCTTTTAGGAAAGGGATATGTCCAAAATAACCTAGTACCTTTAAGACCTAACTACCTTGGTTACAGAAGGAAATAAATTAATTATATTGTACTCCCCCTAAAGATGTATAAATCTCATAAGCCCAAAGCGTGTTACCTGGGTAAGTTATGTGTGACCCGCATAGACTTGGTGAAGACATCTGCAAGATGGTAACTAAGATTCGCAAGATGGTAACTATGATTCACGAACGATGTATAGATTTCTTTTGAGAGAACTTCTCTTATATGAAATGACATGAATGTCGATCTCCATGCATTTTGTTCGCTCGAGGCAATGTGCGAGGCGGTTTGTTTATCACAAATTAGATCAATGGAACCAACTTTAGAGAATTTGAACTCGTGGAGTAGATGATTGACCCATATAAGTTCACTAGTAGTGATTATCATGGCTCGATACTTTGCCTATGGCCTCGACCTTACCACCACTGGTTATTTCTTACTCTTGCACGAAATAATATTGCCTTTAATAAAAACACAACACCCCGAGGTTGGCTTCTTATCACTAGGATATCACTAGAAAATCCTGCCTAAATCGTGAGTTATTTAACCCTAGTCGTACTTTGTTGGTGATTTTAGTAAATTTGGCTTTGCGATTGGCGGTTCCCGGAGACGTAGGCAATATTGGCTGAACTCCATTATCAATGTTACGTGTTATTTTTCTTTCTCGTCTTCTATTTGCTTTGTCTTAATTTTGTTTGTAGAAGTGCTTGCATTAATTGTTGCAGGGTATTTTTGTCCGCTGCGATTGTTGTGATATCCTAAAAAAACAATATAACACCTGTCAACCAAAATGAAAACAACTTTCTATTAATTATAAATAATAACACAACGTATGTTGTACAAATATATGAGATCGTGAATGCCATCGGGGAAAATATCACCATTACAAAATTGAACAACTTGAAAATAACTTCATATTAACAAAGGAAACTCAATATGAAAAATCCAACATAAAAAAAAGAAGAAAAACTTAACTCAAAATAATCACAATTACAAATACACTTTAACCAGAGCGTGTAATAAATAGTGAAAAAGACACTGAGAGAAGAAAAAAAAGGAAAATGACTCGATATGCACCTACACCGAGTCGGTCGCCCTATTGTCTGGCAAGGGCCTCCTAATACCACTGATCGTCCCGAACACTGTTGGTTCCCCGACTCGGGTACTGCCGTTGGGTCGAACTCTCTGTTCGCTGCTCCTCTGGGCGTCGTATGTAAACATAGATAATATTTGTATAAATTGGATCTACTTCTGTAAAATTGAGGTTTGTGTGGTCTGAGGTTAAGGAATGAATGAAGATGAAGAACATGAAATAGGGGAAAAGAAGGATTTTTTGAGAAGAATAAATTGTTTGTGTGGGGTGGGGGGGGGGGGGGGTTGAAGAAGAGGAAATTAGGAAGAAGAGAAGAAAAGTTCGAGAATTGTTTAGTCTGCGTGAAGAGAAAATGGGAGAGAGAAGGATCTAAAGCGAAGTAAAATTCATAGACAAAAATAGAACAAGAGATTTTGGGGAATTTTCTCCGAAATTTCTTACGCCATTAATGATGAGCTCTCAGCTCTGTTACATCCGTAATTAGGAAGAAGAGAAGAAAAGTTCGAGAATTTTTTAGTCTGCGTGAAGAGAAAATGGGAGAGAGAAGGATCTAAAGCGAAGTAAAATTCATAGACAAAAATAGAACAAGAGATTTTGGGGAATTTTCTCCGAAATTTCTTACGCCATTAATGATGAGCTCTCAGCTCTGTTACATCCGTAACGAACAGATAAAAGATGCCTGAAGCATACTATGAATGCTCGAGATTGTATAATAGAAAAGCAACACGTAGCAACACACAAAGCGCTTATGCAATACACAAAGCGGATAACAATCTTATAAGTATAACATGCGACATAATAGAATAAGAAATTAGAAAACTGGATAATGAAAAACACGATATTGCAACTAACATGAATAAGAACTCAACGCAAGGGGATAAGAACTCAAACTTGTTAACATGTAGGCTGTGTTTGTCAATGATTTCTCATGATAAGGTCCTCACCTACACATCTACATGAATTAAATCAAACATGTCTTTACTTTGAATGCTGCTGAGGAAAAGACAACCTGCACTGCTTAGCCTTATGAAAAATGTCACAATTATCAGCTCTTTGTTCGACACAGTGTAGTCAATGTTACAAACCTTAGGGTTTTGGACAATGATCTATTCACAAGAGGAGGCCCCATATATATAGACTTAGGACATATGGGCTGTGGGCCTATAATATAACAGTTAACACCCCCCTTCAAACTCAAGGTGAAGGTGGAGGATCCGAAGCATTGAGTTTGAGCAAGTGAAGCCGATGCTGCTCTCTAGTTTGTGCTTTGGTGAAAAAATCAGCCACTTGCAGTTCTGACGGCACATACTGAAGAACGATTTTTTTCTGATGACAGTGAGATCGAGTAAAGGAAGCATCAACACCAATGTGTTTAGTAAGTTCATGCTTTACTGGATCATTGG